ATAATAATGCGCTTACTAGCGTAAATCAGCATAAATTTTGCATAAAGTAAATGAACTATTTCCATTCAGAGGACTTTCTTTGAAAGTAAACTTGCTGTTCAGTAAGCAATTTTCCCACCATCGCAAAAATAATGTGTATAAAGGATAATTTATATACTAAAAAAATAAGCTAACGGGCACTGCTTGTCTTAAGATGCATACATTCCTGTTCAGCACCACAACTGGATCTCGTCAATACGACGGTTACTATATTGACTGATTAAGAGTAGTTAAAATAGGGGTTGCGAAAAGCACTGAATATTGAAGAATACGTGGTCAGAAATAATAAAGAATGAAAAACGCTATATAAATAAAGCGAAAAAGAAAATGGATATACTTAGTTGAGCTGTAGCAATGGGTAAATTTGCCTTTTTTTGGTCCCAAACCATCTCGTAGGAAAATTTTATACATATTTTAGCACATAACAAGCATTTTCCTACCCGTGTGCATTGTTCGGTCTGTGTTTACAGCTTAGGGATGAAACATAGACTACATCATAAAATTTCCTCCGTCACATGACACTTAAGACCTGTCCTATTCTATTATTATATATATGATAAGGTTTCTGTGTAAGAAAGAACTTTTGCGAGAAAGAACTTAAGAAAGAAGAAATAAGTTAAGAAAAGGAAGAATTTAAGAAAGAGAGAAAGAAAGAAGAAAGAAAGAACTTGAGAAAACTTAAGAAACCTAAGAAAACTTAAGAAACTTAACTTAACTTAAGAAACTTAAGAAAGGAAGAAAGAACGAGAAGAAAAAACTTAATAAAAAACTTTTGCGGTTCCATTGTTTCTTGCTCGGCTTGTTTGTATAGCTCATTTTTCGGCTTTTTTCACTCTTCTCTTATCCAGTCTTTTTCTTCGTATTTGACTTCATACATAGTAAAATTCTGTCGACCTAATTACGATTTTTACTTTTTTTAGACGATTTTTACGTTAGTGCATGTACAAATATCTCCCTCCTTTCTCCCTCAAAAAAAAAAAAAATCTTTGGTCAAAAAAAAATTTCAGTGCATTAAGTTAACGTTTAACCAGTTATAGCTTTTTGAATATTTCGATTTAGATCATGAGAGTTTCAAAATTTTCAGCCTTGCGTGTTTTATCAGAGACCTCGATTTCGGCGACTACCGGTTGATGCATTTTCATCCTGTGCACGTCATTTAAATGATACGGGTAAAAGTCCGTCCACTTCAGTGGAACTCAAAACTGAGGACAGCCAGAAGGATTTGCCGAGCAACGAGCAATTGTTTTATGTTGATTGGCTCACTGATCTTTTGGTATGACTTCGGCCTATGTTAGTGGATTGTTTGTTGTAGTGTTAAATTTGCCTGATATTATCTGCTTCAAATTACCTATAGCCTAACTCATTAGCTTGAAGTTGCCTCAGATTCCTCGCAAATTCGCTTTTTTAATTTCTCGAAAAAGGTATAATTTGGTCGACTTTCCTCGAAAAAAGTGTAATTTGGTCGACTTTTTCTTGAAAAAGATGTAATTTGGTCGACTTTTGGTCGGTTTATCTGATGAAATTTGGTAAATTTCTATTTCTTTATGAGCTAAAATATATTTTTCATTTCTTTTTCTGGCTGGTATCGTACTCAAACAAATATGCTACTTTGATTAACTGCCATTTCAACTTACTGTTTCTTCGCGCAGCAGTCTTTCAGTGGTTACTGTTTGTCTGTATTTGCACATTAACTACCCAACTGTCTTCCCTATCACCATTCACTATTAAATTCTCTCCTTCTAGCCTTAAAATATATGGAGTTCAACCGAGCTCCAGCTCCAGCCGAGCTGAATTTCCTTTGGTTTGCACGATCCTTTACTTTACAAGGTTTGCTTCGGCCTACCTACGACCATAAATTACCACTTCACAACTTTGACTTCCATGTCGATTCTGCTTTGAACGACCAGTTTTGGCCGGGTTTCTTTGGCCCTTCTTTTCTGTTCTATTGCATCACCTAGTGACCATCTTGCTGCTATTACACTTATAATTTTGGCATTCGTTTCCCGGCTTTCCTCTCCTTTTTTTTTGTTCCGGAAAGTTGCGTAAAATGTGTTTCTCTTTTTGCTCTTCGCCTTTTCGATTCCACAAAAACTGTCCTCTTGCAGGTGCCGAAGTTTTTGAGCGATCGAGCACTCTATGTGAAATTCATGCAGCTATGCACCAAAGATATTGTCTACGACGACCAGATTTTTAATCGCCACACCGAGTAGTTTTTACCGCTTTTTTTTTTCTATTTCGTCCTATTATGAAGCCGGAATTTTGATACTGAGTAAGGGTTCTTATGCACAAAATTACATGCATTCTTTGAAGTAACAGGGGCTGAATTTGAACAGTTAGAGCGGGATTTGCTTGTAATTTTTCAGACTCCTTGTTTCATTTTCTGCAAAGAACAGGACTGTAAGTTGGCACGATTTTGGCACTGCTTTCACAAAAGCATCTGGTCGCTGATAGGATATTCGACTGTGCCCTAATCCTTGGAGATTGCTT